CTAAAATGCTTAAGGCTACAAGGGTCTGAACAGCAGGGTGGTTGCTTTTCCACAGGCTTCTATATGTGCTCCTTCCCTAATTCCTTTGTTCAGGCAGGCAATTAAACAAGACAAGGTGTTCTGAGCCTGTAGGATTTCTTATGTGCATGGAGAGGAGCAGCAATGGGGCAATTTTGTTTCCAGTGGACCAGAGAGCTTACCAGCAAACAAATTTCTACTGTGTACCCATGTCTCCAGATGTCCTAGAAAGTCACCTCACTTAATCCTCACAATAACCCAGAAGATTATAATCTTCACTTTTATTTATGAGGAAGTTGAAGGTCTAGGAGTGAATTTGCCTTGCATCTAATCATCAACTGGAACATGCATCCAAGTCCACCTAAATCCACTTCTCCCTTTAGTGTGTATCTCAGACAGGGGCAGTGGAGTGACTTAGAACCAAATGAACTCATCTTTGTTAGTGCAAGGGCCTTTAGCTGGGTTTGGTGGTTCATGCCTATAATCTCAGCACTTGGAAGATGTTTCATATGAAGAGATTAAGGTCAGCTTCAGTTACATAGCAAGTTTGATGTCAGCCTGGGCTAAATGAAACTTTTTTTTTTTTTTTTTGGTCTTTTTGAGACAGGGTTTTCCTGCAGCCTCAGCTGTCCTGGAACTATGTGGACCAGGCTGGCCTCGAACTCACGGAGATCCGCCTGCCTCTGGCTCCCAAGTGCTGGGATTAAAGGTGTGAGCCACCACACCCAGCTAAAACTGTTTTTTTTTAAAAAAAACAATGGGGCTGGAGAGATGGCTCAGTAGTTAAGAACACTGGTTGTTCCTGCAGAAGACCCGGTTTTGAATCCCAGCACCCACATGGCCACTAACAACTGTTGGTAACTCCAGTCCCAGGGGCTCCGACAGCCTCTTCTGTCTTCCGTGGGCACTGCACGACACAGGTGCACTTACCGACATGCAGGCAATGCATGCATACACATAAAATTAAAATGATAAATAAAATATTAAACAAAAACAAAAATTGGGGCTTGGGATCTGATGCTCTTCTGGCCTCTGAAGGCACTGCACACATGTGGTGCCCTTATATACATTCAGATAGACACATGAAATAAAAATTTTAAAGTTCCTAGTATCTCAGAAGACATCTGTGTCTTTAGGTTACTTTGAATATAAAATTAAAACAAATTCTATGGCTTTTTTTTTTTAACACAAAGAATTTCGAATAGCTCAGACTGACCTCAAACTGGCTATGTAACCCTGACCTTCTGATCCTCCTGTACCTACCTCCAAGTGCAAGCATCACAGGTATGTATTGCCACACCCAGTTTATCCATTGCTGGGGATTGAACTCACAACTTTATGCAGCACAGGCAAGTACTCTATAGGTTTTTAAAACTACAGGGCTGGTGAGATGGCTCAGTGGGTAAAGGTGCTTGATGCCAGCTGTCACAACCTGAGTTTAATCTCCAGGATTAAAATGGTAGAAGGAACGAACCACTTCCAAAAGTCCTCAGAATTCTACATCATGGCATGCAGGTGAACACACACACACACACACACACACACACACACACACTGAATAAATAAAAATTTAATAGAGAGCACTGGGAGCGATGGCACCTGCTTTTAATGCCAGCACTTGGGAGGCAGACAGATCTCTGAGTTAGAGGCCTGGTTTACATAACAGGTTCCAGGGTTACATAATGAGAAACTCCCATCTAGATGGCTCAGTGGTTAAGAGTACTACTTTTGTGGAAGGCCCGAGTTTGGTTCCCAGTACACACATCAGGCAGCTCACAACTGCCAGTAACTCCAGCTCCAGGGAATCTGATGCCCTCTTCTGGAGGTCACAGATACCTGCACTTGCATACGCACATCCCCACACACAGAACAACATAATTAAAAATAAATCTTAAAAAACAATGAAATTACTTTTATATAAATAAGCCTTGGTGGGGCATGGTGGTTCAGGCTTTTAATCTCAGCACTTGGGAAGCAGAGGCAGATGGATCTCTGTGATCCACCAGGCCAATCTGGTCTTGAGATTCAGGCCAGCCAGGGCTACATAGTGAGACCCTGTCTCAAAACCCAAATCAAACAAACCCCTCCTCCCCAAACAACAAACAAAACAAAACAACAAAGTCTTGCTTGAACCTTGGTAACCATGACTTTTAAATTAAACGTAGGATTGGTTCAAAAGACAAAAATACACCTAGAGAACATAAAAATTCTTTATTCAAACAAATCCAGCCAATATTGAGTTTTCTATATTAAAAACAAGATGTTAAAAAAATTACAGCGGAATTAGCAAGGCAGTGACTAATGAAGTCACTATGTTTTATTATATATTCTTTAGTTATTTGATAATTGTGTGATGAACAATATTTTCAGCCACTTAGAGATTAACTTCCACAATAAATAGAATTCTACCAATCATCACTGAATTTTATAAAAAGGTTTAAAACATTAAAGTTTCTAGAAATAACAGAAAAGCAGTATGAAAATAAGCTGGAGACCATTATACTCACACATCCTTAAAGCCTACCATCTCCTCTTCTTCCTCTACTGCCTTTTACTTTACTGTCTAATAAACTACTGCTACTCTTTAGGAAGCATTTGGAACCTAAATGGCCTCTGTTCCTTTCTCTGTTAATCCCAGAAACTGTTCAAGTATTAGTTGCATTTTAGGTATGAAAATAACTGGCTGAACAGTCACTTGGTCAAGGTTATACATAGTTATTAAAACTCAAACTAGGATTTGAATGAAGGCCCATCCAGCTTTGAGTCTGGCCAGGCTTTGTTACTTTATGGTTGGTTAAGCCACCTTCTGGAGACTGGCATTTGGTATTTCTTCCACTAAGGCTCTTCATAGTTATTCAATGACAGGGCTAGAGGCCACTCTGGTCCCCAGGCACTTGTGGTTCCCTCCCCAAAGATCTAGAAATCCTCACCTCCTGTCCCCAAAGGATTAGTTGTTTGGCCTGCATGGGCCTTGAGGCTAATAAACCCAAGCAGTCACTCCCTATCTCGGACATTAAAGAACATGGGGAACTGAGTGCTTGGATACCTTTGTAAAAGCTCCTCCATTTAACAAAATTGTCCAGGAAATGTCTAATATATCTTTCCATACTGGAAATCAAAGAAGCCAATATATTTCATAATTACAGCTACATTATCTAAGTTATTTTATATATAATCAGTATTTCCTCTTCAGTACTTCAGTTCTTAAAGTTTACTCAAATCTTCCCTTCTGCCTAAAAATTTTGAGTGTTCAATAGTCATTCAGAAAAATACCATAAAACTGAAAATTGAGACATTCATCCTACAAAGATACCAGTCTTTATTAAAATTATTATGTACTATTTACAATCTAGCATAGCTCAATGTATATTTGCTACACTTCTAAAGAGAAGTAACCACTTCGCAGTGAGGGGGGGAACATTTGTTTCCATGCATTATATATTATGAATAAAAAATTAAGATCTCTGGAATTTAAAAATTTTCATTTGAATTAATGAAAAGAACTGAAAGAACATTCAGAATGTTGAACATTAAAATGGTCACTATTAAACACAACTTAAAGAACCAGTTTTAGAAAATGAATATGAAACTAGTTAAATAACGATCATTAAAATGTCAGCCCTATCAATATGACAAACAAAAACTAAAAGGAGACTGGCCATGCCTTTAGTCCCAGCACTCGGGAGGCAGAGCCAGGCCGATCTTTGTGAGTTTTAGGCCAGCCTGGTCTACACAGTGTGCTCCAGACCAGCTGGGGCTACAGAAGACCCTGTCTCAAAAAGATAAAAACAAAAACAAACTAAAAATGGGGGTCGGAGAGATGGCTCAGGGGTTAAGAGCACTGGCTGCTCTTGCAGAGGGTCTAAATTTGGATCCCAGCACTCACATGTTGACCAACAATCATCTGTAACTCCACTTCTAGGGGACCTGATGCTGTCTTCTGTGGGCACTGCATGCACATGGTATAATTATATGCAGGCAAAACACTCATACACATAAAACTTAACAAAATCTAAAAATAGAGCTGTCCATGTAGTTCAGTCATCAGAGTGCTTGCCTTGCAGGCATAAAGCCCTGGGCTCAGTCTCCAATACCACATAAACAGGTGTGGTGGTGCATGCCTATAATTAGGAGGATCAGGAGTTCAAGGTCACCTCAAATAGAAGTTTGAGGCTAGCCTATAGGACTAGAGACCCTGACTCAAAACACCCTAAAAATATTAGATATCCTAATTGGATACCTTATTAACTGAATTAGCAAAAAATGATTACCTCAATATTCACTTACAACTTCTTGTATTCATAATTAGCTCACTGACTGATATAAACAAAGAACTCAAGACCTTACCTTGCTTTACCATTGCTTACTCTATAGATTGTAAACTCTGTAAGAACTGGTACAAGTTAGCCTTGTTCACCACTATATCCCATAGTACCCTGCACAGTGGCTGGGTGAAAGGGAAGTGATTAAGAAATACTCTTTGGGGCTGGAGAGATGGCTCACGGTTAAGAACACTGGTTGTTCTTGCAGAAGACCCAGGTTCGAATCCCAGCACCCACATGGCAGCTAACAACTGTTCATAACTCCAGTCCCAGGAGATCCGACAGCCTCTTCTGTCTTCCGTGGGCCCTGCAGGACATGGGTGCACTTACCTACATGCAGGCAATACACACATACACATAAAATAAAAAGAGTACATAAAATAAAAAAAACCTAAATAACTGAATCAATAAAAGAGTAACATAATTTTGTTTGTTTTTTTGGTAAGTCACTCTCTGATTAACTTATTAAATGGCACCTCTAATTTCTAGAAATATGAATTTTAAATTTTTAAGAGAGAGAAAAGGACCTGATCTTTCTCCTACCCCTCCCCTCCCTCTGCTCCCTCTGTACATACACACACACACACACACACACACACACACACACACACACACAGAGACGATTACATGAACCAAAATTACTTTATGAACTATGAGATGTCAACATTGTATAAATAAAATTTAATAGTGAAAAAGTGATCTGGAAGCCCTGGAAACATTTACTCTACACATTTTGGAGGATGTCACATGGGTTAAGGAAAAGGAAACAAAATCTCTTTTGTTCAGATCATCATTTCAATGTTTACATACATTTTTTGGTTTGTTATTCAGAACTAATTTACAATTCTTCATATTAACATATGTTCTTGTTTAGCATGTAATCAAATTATGCCAGTGAGGAAAATCCTCACAATACCATCATTGAGTTGCTATTTCTAAGAAAACACTGAACATGAATATATACAAAAGAGGCATTAGAATAAAACAGCATGTCCATTGTTTAATATTTATACAGTTTGTTCTTTACATTTTCATCTGGAAAAATATGAACAAACCTAGGTTTACCATGCTAAGATAATGGTTTAGCTGACTGCCATAAAAGTAGTACAGACAAACAATGAAAATGAATCACATCCTTAGTTCTGTGATTACTGAGAGGATTTTCCCTGCCCTACGTGCTTTATTATGTTTCTTAAAAATATAGGAGCAGTAGCTTATCACAAGTCTCCACTAGTGCATTAATGATGGAATCAAAACAACACAACAGACTCATAAGGATGAAAAGCCTCAGAACCAGAAATCAGTTTTATGCTTCTTCTTGTTCTGGATAATTTAGGATTTTGCGGTGTGCCTGACGTAAATATTGCTGCTGCTTGAAGTAAACCTTAAATGCTCCTTTTATGGCAACAAAAGCAATTCCACCCTAAAATAAAAAGGGAAATTAATTTTTTTTACAATGCATGTTTAGAGAAACAAGAAAAAGAACTTTATATTTATCACAAAGATGCAGGCTATGCTGCCAAACAAATTCAACTAACTGCAAGTGAAACACTCTTGGTTTATTAGAGGGTGAGCTTGGGAAAGAGGCAGACATTCCAAGGCAGCAGAGGAAGACATGCCTTCCACATTATTCTCTGAGTAATGTTCCTTCTGTGTAGCTCTACACCTGTTCCGATACAAAAAGCATGCCAGAGCACCATGTACTGCTAACAGAGAGGGCAAGTGGGAACAACAGTAAACAACATGACTGCTTGCTATGTGTCAGTCCTTCATCTTCTTTTTTAAATGGTGGTGGTGCTAGGGATCGAACTCAGAACCTTGTACACCCTAAACAAGTAGTCTACCACTGAGGTACATCCCTGGAACTAAGAGTTAATCTCATGTAATCCTCACAAGTATTCTGAGGTAGTTACTATTTCCATTATACAGGCAGAGAAAAGAATTAGACTTACACTTTGCAGAAAGACTATTTCTGTGTTTGGATTTGAACCAGACAGTCTGACCCTATTGAAGCTCTAATCCAGCTGTCAAGAGGGATAGGTAGAATGACTCCTACATATTCCAGAAGAGAAACTACCCACAGAAGGCCAGAACTGCAGCGGCAGGACTCCCTTTTTAAAATTTCCCTCAAGCTGAGATGACAGTGGGATCAGACAGAGGAATCAGGCATAGGAACCATAAACTAAGCATCTATAAAAAGTTTCTCTACCTTTTAAAAACAAAAACTATTGATACTCAAGCCACTTGAAACAAGTAATATTAAAGCCATCTTACCAAGATTGTCCTTTGTAAATTAGAGTTAACACTACTGAACATCAGTTTACCAACTATTGTCGCAATAGTAGGAAAGACAAGGGCTCCACACAAAATTCGGGTAGCAGAGACGTGATCTGCTAGAGGATTAGCTTCAGCTGGAATCCGAGGAACAGGACAACCAATTCCTACAGAGAAAAATGCAGCATGTTAGTACTAATACTTAGATTTGCTAAACTTAAGACATTTATTTTTGTGAGACAGGGTCTCCCAGCTGACCTGGAACTGTATAGACCAGGCTGGCCTTGAACTCACAGAAATCCGCCTGGCTCTATCTCCCAGCTACTGGGACTAAAGGTATGCACCACCACACCCAGCACCTTAAAACATTTGTAAAAAAGCATGTTACATTGGGGCTGGAGAGATGGCTTAGTGGTTAAGAGCACTGGCTGCTCTTGCAGAGGACCCAGGTTCAGTTCCCAGCACCCACATGGAAGCTAACAACCATCCTTAACTCCAGTTCCAGGGGAATCTGATGTCCTCTTCTGACCTCCAAGGGCAGGGCACAACACACAGGTGTACTTACATACGAGGCAATACTCTCAAACACATAAAATAAAAATAAAGAAAAAAGCATGTTATACTTCTTCTACAGGTCAATTGGACATGTACTTTATAGCCACAACTCAAGGTCTTACCTGGAAATATACTGTTCAAAATCTGTAGTTTATTTGAGTATTTGCGCCATAGTCTAAGCACATAGTCCTCCCAGCGAATCATCTTGCCTAAGATCAGCATGACAGGAATAGTAGGAAGCCCAATCAAAAGGAATAAAGGGTCAGCTCTCTCCATAACATCCAGCCCTTCTTTATGGCCTACAACCTGTGAAGCAGATAGCATTTGCTAGAATTACTTCTATATCTAAGGAAATGGTGCATATTTGAGCTCAGTTCATTTTATAGGAAACAATTTCAAAATACAGAAATAAAAGGCTAAAAAACAATGAGACAGCTGTTAAGTCTCGATTTATTTACAAGATGTAGTTCTTTCTATTCTTCAATAGGTGGATGGCCAGTTTTCCCAGTATTGAAAAGCTGTTATTTTTTCCTCCCCCAATGTATGTTTTTGTTATTGTTGTTGTTTTGCTTTTTGAAATAGGGTCTCACTATGTAACCCTGGCTGGCCTTGAGTTCAGAGAGATCTGCCTGCCCCTGACTTTAGCGTGCACACTACACACAGGTCTTTGAGACAGGGTCTCATATAGCCCAAGCAGACAGCCTCAAACTCACTATGTGGCAGAGGTTGGCCTTAAACTCTTTGATTTTCCTGCCACTACTGCTCAAATGCTAGGCCACTACTGCTCAAATGCTAGGATTACAAATGCTTGGCACCATATATCCAATGCTTACATTTGACACCTTTGTTGAAAATTAGGTGGCTGTGGCTGTATGAATTTATTTCTGGGTCTTCTATTTTACTCCATTGGTATACATGCCTGTTTTGTGCCAGTATTATACTTTTTGCTACTATGGTTTCTGTAGTGTAATGAGATAAGGTATTGGAATACACACAGCATTGTTCTGCTTAGAATTGCTTTTGCTATCCAGGGATTTTATGCTTCCATATGAATTTTATGATTCCCTTTTCTAGTTCTGTGAAGGCATTAGAATTTGGATGAGGACTGTGTTCAATCTGTACATTGTTTTTGCCAACACATATATTTTACAATATTAATTCTACCAATCCAGGATCATGGGGGTAGGGGATGTGTCTATCTTCTAATGTCTTTTCAACTGCTTTTGTCAATGTCTTAAAGTTAGGTTTATTCTTAAGTATTCTATTATCCTTTTTTTAAAGCTATGGGACCATGAAGGGCTGGAGAGATGCTCAGCAGTTAAGAGGGCATATTATTCTTGCAGAGGACCAGAGCTTGGTTCCAAGCACCCACATCAAGCAGCTCATAACAGCCTGTAACTCCAGCTCCAGAGGACCCAATGCCTTCTTCTGGTTGCAAAGGGCATATGCATTCATGTGCACATAACCCCCTTCCCATACATATAAACTTGAAATTAGAAGGGAGGACTAGTTGGAGAAAAGAGAGCTAGCAAGAGGAGGGGAAAGGTAATGGGTTGTGGGGGAGCAAATGAGTAAGAACAAAACATGATATACATATGAAAACGCCATAATGAAACCTTTATTTTTATACTTTTTTAAAAAAATTAGAGTTTTGCCAAAAGGTGGCACAAACTTTTCTCAGCACTTAGGAGGCTGAAGCAGGGGGATCAGGAATTCAAGGTAACCTCAGTTACATAGGAGACCTTGTTTAAAAACAAAACAAAAAAAAAACCAATGGCCTAGAATGGTAGTTCAAATATGCTCAGATACTACCTTCTAAACACATCACAGAGAACCAGGTGTGACACCTTTAATCCTAGGACTCGGGAGGCAGAGGCAGGCGGATCTCTGTGAGTTCAAAGCCAGCCTGGTCTA